CGAAGATTATGGTTGATGCAAAAAGCATTTTTCTATCGAAATAAGTGATCTTAAAAAGGAAATCACCATAGAAAATGTCCGATAAAACGGAAATTATCACGGGAGTACTCTTCCGTGTAACTACCTTGATATTTACACGCAGCGACGCATTCAAAACATTAAATAGTAGACAATAGGTCTTAAATTTAGTAGAAATTATGATACCAGGGCGTTTCGCGGCCCGTCGATAAAAAAGATTAAATAAACGATATAATTTTCATCCGGAGCCAACAAAATATACGAAGGCCCTTCTAGAAACATATTACGTCGTTAATCTACGTAATGTATAGCTGATGGAAGAAGTTTAGCGATGTACTCGAGGCATAATTAAAATCTTTGTCAAATCGACACCCTCTTTTTACCTTTTTTTACCTACATCCGCCAAATATCTTTCTTTTTCAAATTTTTTTTAATTAATTTCGACTTTTTTTCATAATTTTATGAAACAGCTTTTCTTACAAAATTGAATAGCCTTTTTTGACTTTTTCACACGTTTCCCGTTGAACCGATTTTCAGTGATTTTCGAGTCAAAATTCACTGTTATCAAGAAAAAAGTATAACCTAAAATGCACTGCAGGATAAAGCAAAAATAGTTATTTTAATTGTCGTTTAACTCCAAGAAAGAAATAAGATTTGATTAAATTTAAATGAAACTTTTCATTTCTGGAATTGTTACATTTCATCTTCTTCGATTAATATATTTATAATTGTAAAGACATGTTACGATGTAAATATAAATGCAGCTTGTTTAGATGGTAATTCTAAAATTTTTTAAATAATGAATTTTTATAGTACAATTTTTTGCTGCTAGTTTTTATGGTCCGTAAAATGTAATTTATTCGGGTCTAATAAACCATACAGCGAAGTTACAAAACGATAGTAATACAAAAGCACGGGAATTCCCCGCGACCGACTGGCGAGCTTTACTTGGGGATTCCCCTAAAGTAGACTCTCCAACGTACAGCGCCATCGTGCGGCCATAAGCGTGCCACAGTATTCGATACAATTGCAAAAATTTCTTCTTCCAACCGGAATGATCGAATCTTGAAATACGAAATTTGAAACGTAAGAGAATCGAAAGAAGTTGGACCATAATGTGATAATTGTACTGTACATAATGTTTGGACATCGCTGTATGATTTTATAAAATATTTTATAAAAACGTTACGTTTAATACTAAAAACATCAAACGAAGATATGAAGAATATGAAACGAAGAATCTAAAACGAAAAAAAGTGGAATCAACGTTGAACAGACAAACTTAATGGGGTACTATTCTGGTTTAGAAGGTCAAAAAAATCAGTTCTTTTTAAATTTCATTTTCTTAAAGTACACTCTTACTGACATGAGTTAAGAAACAATATAATCGTTTGCTTCTAAGATACATAGATTGATATTAAAGGTAACACAATGGAACAACATTTTATACAGCAAATAAGCAATGATTTTTTTTGTCGAACATACTTGTATAAAGACTACGATTGAATTGAAGAAACGAAACAAAAGCTGCGTGACAAAAGTTAGAAAACATGCATACTTTTAAAAATGGGTCGAGAACACAATATACATAAAAATATTTAACGATATTTGGTCTACTTCCTGACATCGTTAAGTTCATATTATAATTTACATGCTAAATGTGACCAGGAAGGTAACATTTAACAGACGCTGAGAAACTAAGTTGAAATGCGCAAGAAAGACCAGCAAAAAACTGACATAGCAAAAGTTGTATTTTCATGAAAATTACAAAACAGCATCATGAATAGGTAGACCAGGAAAAACAACTCAAAAACTAAATCTTCGAATTACAAGGCTCCCTAAATCTAACTCATTTTACACTGCTTCCGAGACTAAAAATTAATCGGGTCTGAAAGATATTAGTAGCAGAAGAGTTAGTCGTCTTTTAAACGAAAATAATCTTTTTTTACGTAAAACATGCAACCACTAGTTTCGAAGATGTACAGAACAGTTTATTGACAAGAATTCTGTGGAACGACGAAAGCTAATTTAGTTTATTTGGAAATGACTCCAAAAATAACATGCGATGTCCTGCGATACAACCTACAAGTCTTGGTTCATTGGTACGAATAACAGAAACAACGTATCGATTTATTTATCGTGACATCTTAAAAAATCATGTTGTCATTTACCAATGAAAAAATGTGATTAGAATATGTTATTCTAACATTGTCTTAAATTTATTAAGGCATTTCTTGTGGAATAAAATGTTAATGTTATGAAGTGGTCTATTCTATTGTCTGCGACTGCGTTATTTTAAGAGCTGTTGAAGAGAAAGCAAAATTAACTTGGTAAAAAGAGGCTTCAATTCTTTATTTGGAGTTTCAACGCTCATTGCAAAGCACAGTAAAAATTAATCGGCACACTTCTCAAATTTTGTTATCGTCATAGTTGCAAAATATGGGACAAACGAAAAGATAACGTAGTTCAGAAATATAATGAACGGTTCGAAGATCATGAAGATAAATGTATGACGAATCATTCAGGAAGTGCGGACAAAATGGAGATGCCGTAGTTAAAATATTTACAAGATCTCAACATAAACATGTTACAAAATACAGTGGAGACGTTGACAAGAAAACGTTCAAGGGAATTATCGATACTTAATCATACGATGATAATTGTACAAAAAATGGAGTGTGAATTGGTGAAGAAGTTGACGGATAAAGTAATCAACGAATTATCTGAATATTACGGACTGGCTATTCGTAGGAATTCTCATTCAACTCAAGAAATGAAAAAAGCTATTTGAGCGACATTCTACCACAAGAGCTTGACCGATGAAAAATCACAACATATGTATATGTATATTGCCCCGTAGGAATACGTATGTAACTGGTGCAAGTGGCGGAAAAGGGAAGAAAATTGGAAGAATATTTTCTGATAAGATCTTAGAAGTTATAAGACCTATCTATGAAGAGCTCTCTCTGGAAAAATTGCTGATAAAGTGTTTAGGGAAGGTAACGCAGAATAGCAACGAATAATTCAATTCTGTGATTTGGACCTTCGCACTTACTTAAGTATACATTCGAGAACTACAACCGTAATATGTAGCAACCTTCTGTGCTGTTTGTATATTCAACGGGAGGTTCTACGATATCTTGCAAATATTTGGAAAGCTACGATTAGTAGTAGGAAAGCAGCAGAACTTTATGTAGCATTGCGATAAGAATAGAAAGTTAAGCAGACTTCTACACCAGTTAATATTTCTTGGTAAAAAAAATATCCTGTAGTTTTAAAACTATAATAAATATATGTGCAAAAACCTAGAACAGTTTACTGGTTGTTAAAAAAAATTTGAAAAAGTGAACAAAAAATCGACGTCCAAACCAGAATATCCCCTTTGCACTATTTGTTTTGTGGCAACTTGATTAAAAAACGGAACATGTTAGTGAAAGAAGCGCTGGCGCTCGAAAAATCCAAGTTTCTCTTATCCTTGTATTGAAATCGTTTGTTTCTTTTAATGCAGTTTTTACGACGCTATATCTCTTCCACCAAGTATACAGAGAGTTCCAGCCCTGCTCTAACGTTGGTAAAGAGCTTTGTGCTATGTATAATCATGTGCATTGCATACTTTGCTTCTCTTACTGGATATGAAATGTGATTCTCAATGCTGATTTCATAAAATTTAAATTTCCCAACGTACATCATTGTCGAATAAATAAAATTTAATAGTATACAGAGCGATTCGCCAGATTCTACCACCTCAATTTATGTCATTGTCATTGTGTTTAGCAGAAAATATTTCAGATAGCGTTAAATGGTTTCGAGGGAAGCATATTATGATGTTAATAGTTATTCTTTTAGTTTACCTCAGTATTAATGAAATATTTCCAAATTATTGGATAAGACGAGGTGGTTCCATTAATTTTTCAACTAGATCACCCGATTTAATATCGCTTGTTTTTTTTATTGGGTTGTTTGAAAAATAGGACATACGTTCAGGCTCCAATGAAGAATCATTTAATCACCCAATGAACACATTCTTAAATAAAATAAATAATGTGAAAAAATCATTACTTTCGCAATTTAGAAACTGTAGTGATATAAATGGTCACCACATTGAGCCTTTTATATAAATAACATCATTGCAACTGTATAAAGAGAGTCATGATTTCGTAGGCCTATTAAAATTAAAAAAAAGACAGTAATAGATTAGTAATTTTCTATAGAGAATACCAAGGTGCATCGATATGCGTAATAAAAAATATACGATCCCGTTTAAAAAAAAAACCCTGATGATCTTCGTAAGTTCTCTGCGTATCCACCTAAAAAAATAACTGTTAACATTATAATACGCCTTGCTTGAAATCATTTAACCCCATCTCAAATATTGCCTGCTAAGCAAAATAACAATGACTTAAAATCTGGTGAATCACCCTATATACACATTAATATATGAAGTACCTATTCGATTATTTCATTTCGTAGAATGAATATGTTCGTTAGCTTCTTTTTCACTTATCGTATTGTCTCTGCGATAAATCATAGCTAACAAAAACTGTACGTTACGTAGAATTGAGTAAAAACAGCGTAAAAAATATGTTGAATGTACAATGCAGCCAATAAAAAAGCTATCGTGTTTTACTTAACAAGTAACTTAACATTATGTCACGCATAATCCATGATAATTTTTAAATTGAAAGTAAAATATTCGTTTAGTAACACCCGTTCGACGTTATCGTATCGAATACAAATTCTTTCAATATATTTTCTTGTCTCGGAGAAAGAGGAAGTACATTGTAACCGCACACTGTACCACGAGAACATAAATATAAAAAGAAGATTTTAAAAAAAGTTTACCAAAAAGGTTTCTCTGCGACGATTCTCATTGGAATCGTAATTAAGATGATCAATCGGCATCTGTAAATCACTCTATAGATTATTCGACTAGTTAACTGGAAAACAGGCATAGAGAATCCCATTCATAAATAAAATATTATGTATATATTATATGTGTGTATATATATATGTATATATATGTACATATATATATATACATACATATATATACGTGTATACAGGGTGTTTTGTAACATGTGAGACTCATTTCGGAAGCTGATCACCTGAAAACAATAAAGAAATCGTATCAACGTGTGTCTTATCTGTTTACGTTTATGAATTATAATGAATTTTATAAATAAAACAAATTGCTTGTCAAACTTCCATAAACCGCAATAATTTCCAAGTAAGAAATATGACTATTTGAAGAATCGGTAAATTTCACGATACAGGTAGCCCTCCTACAACACGGTTTCACTAAACACGATTCATAAATTGCGAAAACCCTCCTACAACACGGTTTCACTTTAACACAATAAGAATATTGCGAAAACCTTTGTACAACACTGGATAATATGATTTTTACATTTAAAAACTAAATTCCTTCAAAATAATGAACTATAGTGGCTTTACATGAAAATATATAAAAAAAAATTATAATTTATTAAATTAAGATTGTGTTTAATTAAAATGATCTTTTGTCGTGTTTTGTTTTGCGTTATACTGTTGTTATGTTGGAATACAATGTTGGTACCACTTGTATATCGTTATATTGGAATACAATGTTGGTACCACTTGTATAGTTATATTGGAATACAATGTTGGTACACTTGCATAGTGTTATATTGGAATACAATGTTGGTACCACTTGTATATCGTTATATTGGAATACAATGTTGGTACCACTTGTAAGAGTGTCAATTTTGGCACCACTGTTACAAACTGTATATATTAAAAAATTCATTGTGATAAATTGATAACCGAAAAAACGTGTCTGAATCCCGTATCATCCATAAATACCGAGTGCATATTCTAACCTATACATACATTAATATTCTTCATAAAAATTAAGTTGCTTATGTAGAATTAAAAAAAAATATTTGTTTTTAACCTCCTTTTTGTACTGGCTTCGGGTCTCATATAACACGGTATTTTCTAAGAACCTATCTACCGTGTTACAGGAGGGTAACCTGTACTCTCCAAGTCAGTTGAGTTTTTTACTAATAATTGTAACGCATGGCTTATAAGATCGTATTTGAAGTGAAAATTATGTGTTATTCTAATTTAGAAGTGACAAATATGCCCTTGATATATGTATAAGCTTGCTATGTGTAATGCAAGTGAAGCAACACGTTAATACTTGGAATATTTTACCAGTCGGCTAGACTTGGCGAGCGAGTCCTCAATCATGTTGAAAAGAATAGTGAAGACAGTGCTCGAAGAATAGCAAGAATGGAAAATGTGGTGCGGAGAATTTTGCAAAAACAGCAATTAAAATTCATTATACCTCGTAAACAGAAACAAACAGGACACGTGATTGTATGACTTTTTCCATTGTTCTTGGACGTAGAATCAGCTCCCGAAGTGGGTCTGGCATGTTGCGAAACACCCTGTATATGTACATTTATATATAATAATATGTATATATGTGTATATATATATATATTTTTTTGCTTTATGTAAATATTCAATATATTAATGTTTTTCGCAACGTGTTTACGTTAACTTTTGTTGCTTTGCTAAACAGGAGCTGGTGGGAGTATACGAATAGAGTTCCACAAGAATCGAAACAGAAAGCAATTTGCGTCGAATAAGTCTGTACAGAGGGTAAAGTAGTGAATAGTTTGGTAGTGGATGGCGAATGTATTGTCTGTTCACTACGCATATCAGCCAGGTAACCAAACGCTTATATGTACACTGGAGACTCCTGGCCAGTTAACAGCCTAAACATCGACGTGGGCATCGTCTTCATTAATATCTGAAATAAAACATGGTTCGTATAAAATATTAATACATTCACGCGCTGTAATAAATACACTGGTGGAGAAAATGATAAAGCGGCTCAAGATATTTGGAAACGAACATCTATTTGTACATTTTCGTTGGAAATTAATATATGATAAAATGAAGTATTAATTTTGACATAATTTATCAAAAAATAAAGTAAATCATTCAGTCCATGTGTTATTTATGCAAAAATGAAGAAGAAATTTAATGTGGAATTAAATAAAATTATTTTGGTTACGGACTGCCCTTTGTTGCACCACTTTAATTATTTTTCTTAGTAAACTTCTATACAGGTTTTTTGTATCATTTCGATCCAAGCTTTTCCAAGCTTCTAGAACAGCTGATTTTAATTCGGGGATTGTATTATAAGACTGCCTACCTTCATGTAATATTCCGCTTAGTTTACCTCAAACGTTCTCTAGAATTTTAGGTCGGAAGACCTTGCAGGTCAAAAACCTTTACATTTTCCGCTTTAAAATAATTTTTTACTATGCGAGACGTATACACAATTGCATTATTCTGCTGAAATATACCGGGTGTTCGGCTACCCTTGGAAAAAATTGTAATGGGAAATTCTAGAGGTCAAAATAAAACGAAAATGAAGAATACCAATTTGTTGATCGAGGCTTCGTTAAAAAGTTATTAACGTTTGAAGTTCCGCGTGTAGAACGGCAATCTGCGAACAGCTGCGCACGCGCGATAGCGATTCTCGCTCAGAAAACTGTGAGGCTGTTGATACGTCATTAAGTAGAGTTTCTCATGCTGAGTGAGAATCGCTATCGCGCGTGCGCAGCTGTATGCACAGGCAGTGATGGACACTCGTGGGAATTTTGGTCATGCGCACTGGAGCGCCGTATACACTTAACTAGAAATTAGGGTACCGTTGGATCCCAGTAAGAAACAAAATTTAAGGAAGTTACAGGAAAAGAGACAAAAACAAAAAATCTACATGAGTATAGCTAGAGAAATTAATTTAATTAATTTTTGTGTGATTGGCGAGCATTTGAAGTAGAAAGTTCAATTTTGCACAAAATATGAGAATTCCCAACATGCACATTTTTTGCGTAAAGATACATCTATGGCAGAAAACTAACGCATGCGCAAAACTGCGCTTCCCATGTGGGAAAATTCTAGTGCGCGTCTCCATCACTGTATGCAGGTTGCCTATCTACAGGCGGAACTTTAAACGTTAATAACTTTTTAACGAAGCCTCCATAAACAAATTAGTATTCTTGATTTTCGTCTTATTTTGGCCTCTAGAATCTCCCATTGAAATTTTTTTCAGGGATGGCCGAACACGCTGTATTTCTCGCAGATATCAAGGTCCTACTACTATGTAGCGTGACGTCAGGGCAGGCCTCTATGGTGGGAATAAGGCGGCGCGTAAACCTTTTCTCCTTGCCCTTGTTTAGTTTGTTGGTGCCTAGCCAACAAGTCATCTCTGGATAGTAGATATGTATGTAGGTGCTTATAGGTTTATTTTGTAATTTTCTATGTTTTATATAGTTGCCTATTAAAGGAGAAGGTAGAATTATGAGATAGAGTAGAGATATGAGACACTAAGGTCTTAAGTCATATGCAGTACAGACATACGTCTACAGCAATGGACGAAACCGAAGTATTAAGATCATAGTAACATTAGATACCGCTATTCTATTGTTTAACACTAGAAAGACTGAAACTTAGTATATACCTATATTGCCCAAAAGCAGTCAAAATGACTGCATCGTGAAAGAATAACTAATGTGTAAAGAAATTTGTTTAAAATTAATTTTTAATATTATGTTATAATATTATGAATTTAGGGCGCAGAAATAAAATAAACAACTTGTTAGAACAAGTATCACTGCATAAAGATTCGAATAACAAGTACTACTTTAGCTTATTGAGAAACTGTAATTTATCAATAGGTCTGGATTAGATCTCAGTCCTGCCACATTGGCAAGAGTGGCAGGACAAACCGGGTAGGCTGTCCTACAGGATGACACAGGTACTCACCGGGCATGGTTGCTTTGGTGAGTACCTGTGTCGAATCGGGAAGGAGGCGACGGCGGTGTGCCACCATTGTGGAGGACCCCAGGACACGGCGCAGCACACGCTGGAAGTCTGCCCAGCGTGGGTAGATGAGCGCCGTGTTCTGGAGCAGGAAGTGGGAAGAAATCTCTCGCTGGCTACCATAGTGGGAAAGATGGTGGCCAGCGAGAAAACCTGGCAGGTGGTGGCCTCCTTCTGTGAAGTTGTTATGTCACAGAAGGAGGCCGCCGAGCGGGAGCGCGAGCGGACCGCGCATCCCGCTCGGAGAGGGAGGGCTCGGAGAGGGGCCAGAGCGAGGCATCCTTCGCCTCCTGGCCCCCTCCGACGCCCTTGAGGTCTAGTGGGACCTCCAGAAGTGGGGCGGCCCGCCAGCACTCTCCTCCGACCACCACGTCGGTGGTCAGGCGATTGGCAGGCCGCCCCTGTGGGTTGCAGGTGCTCGGTGCAAGGGGCCCGAGCACCGAAGGCAGCCCCCGGGCTGCGGGCGTCGGGTGACCTGGCGTCCGTGGCGGAGAAATCAGGGGGGGAATGGACATGTTGTCCTTCCTCCCGGGATGAGCCTCGACAGGCAAGGCAAGGCGGGGGACTCTGTGATGTCTCACTAGAGTTCCCGGTCCCTCGCCGCAGCGCCGGAGGACGGTCACCGTGGGGTTTTAGCCGGTAAGAGTCCGGCACTACCCCGAGGCCCCCCCTACTTAGGGCCTCGGGGTGTCCATGAGGATTTCCCCACATACAAAAGTCTGGGTTAGGTCTGGTTAGGTCTGGGTTAGATCTGAGTTAGGTCTGGATTAGATCTGGGTTAGGTCTGGGTTAGGTAAGCCCAAATCGACAATTTATCATGTACTTGTATGTTATCATGTGTTGGTAATCGAAAAAAAATGAAAACTGTTATTTCAATACACAGTCGAACTGGTCATATAAGAAATTTACTCAATTCAATAATAAGAGTGATTTGATTATTTAAAATTTCCCAAGCAGTCAAAATGACTGCTTTTTTGGGCAATATAGGTATAACACATATATATATATACCGGAAATGAAGGAGGGGAGAGGTAACTACAATTATTAATAAACGCATTAATATGTTGTACAAAAAGTCACAAAATTATAAGAAATTGTGTCATTATATACATAATTGTTTTTCTAATTGAAATTAAAAAGCAGTCAAAATGACTTCCTTGGGTAATCTAGTGTTAACAAACGCTTATTGTTTCTGATGCACCAGAAAATTTTTACGCATAAGCATTCAAGTGCATTTTCCTGTTATTTATTTTGTAATTTTACAGAAAAGCAGGAGGATATGTTACTATAGGGTCAGTTGCCCTAATATGGAATACGTTCCTACTTTGGAACACCGCAACATTAAAGAATCGTGATTCTGCCATCTATTGGCGATGAATGCAATTGCAAAGCAACACGTGTTCATAAAAGAATATTGAAGAAAATGTTTCAGTCTGAAGTTTTGTAAGGTGATCTTTGACTTAAATGCACCTTTAAAACGTGAAAAGTTTGAAACAAAAAGACTTTCTTAACACGTGTTCTTTCATGACACTTCTTCCGTGGAATGGCGTTCCGTGAGAGTGATCGACTATCGTCGCACACCGATCGCCCCACTCTTATCAAGATGTAGTTACCGATTTGTCCGCGAGGCTACTACATCAAGGAACCTTAACAGTAGTGTTACACACCAGTTGTGTGTTAACTCGATTATTTCTTCAAATATGGTCAAATTTTCGCAACAATTGTTGAAATTATGAATTTCGACACAAATTCAGATAAACCAAAAATCATTACAATACCTTACTTAGTTCCAAAACTATACTATACAGAGTGTTCGGCCACCTCTGGGAAAAATTTTAATTGGGGATTCTAGAGGCCAAAATAAGACGAAAATCAAGAATACCAATTTCTTGATGGAGGCTTCGTTAAAAAGTTATTGACGTTTAAATTTCAGCTGCGCGCGCATGGCTGTCGATACGCCACTATCGCGCGCACGCAGCTGTGCGCAGGTTGCCCATCCACAGGCGGAACTTTAAACGTTAATAACTCTTTAACGAAGCCTCGATCGACAAATTGCTATTCTTGATTTTCGTCTTATTTTGGCCTCTAGAATCTCCTATTAAAATTTTTCCCAGAGTTGCCCGAACACCCTGTATAATATGACGACTCCAGAATATACGTTTCAGCGACAAAGTGGCGTTGAGTTGCTGGTTCGCTCGAGCGAAAAATGTCTGGTGCAAAGGGTCAAACCCAAAAATAATTTTTAACTGGCGAGGAATCGCTAAAGTAAATAATTACCGAAAGATTTTCTCGATCGTTTCGATATGCTAGATAAAATATTTTAGGAATGGAGGGCAGAATAGTGACCGAAGTAAAATAAATTATACGCACCTCACCAACGGACGTCGCAAGAAGGTTGACGATTTTCTCGTGCGGCACAGCTACAACACTTTGATTGTTGATCTCGATAATCCTATGGCCCACTCGAACGCCTCCTCTTTCGGCAATCCCGCCTCTCAATAGACTACATATAACTCCGTTCTGTACACTAAATCCTAATTGATACTTAGTGTCAGGTCGTTTGATTTTGACCTCGACGACTGGCGCACACGGAACAACAGTTAACTTGACGACCGTCTGGTTTTTCGAATTCTTGATGTAGGTTTGACAAGTTGAGAGAGGCAATCCGACTAACGAGACACCATTGATTGCTATTATCTGATCACCGATGTTTAACTGTCCACATCGAGCAGCGGCGCCAGCCGGTGCCAAATTAGCGATTACAACCGTTGGCAGCATAGAACCCCATCCAGACTCGACGATTACCACGCCCAAAATTTCCCCCTTCGCCTTTGGTACCACTACCTGGAAACATTAAATCAGAAAATTTCTTAATTTCGAATTAAAACTAGGTCAATAACGTGCAAAAGGTAAAAACGAGGAACATTCCTAGCAAACGGCCCGTTCACCTATCGGGGTGAGTTATACGTCATTCGATTCGTCTAATTCAATACATTATTGATATGCATTTCATTATAAATTCGTTATTTTTTTATAAACTTGTCGTAAAGTTACAGTAAAAAAGTAAGGTTAGGTACATTTTTTGACAGGTTCACAGATAGAAACAAGTGACTATCGTTGCTATGTTTATGTTACAAATATAAATGATTGATCTAATTTGATAATGCTACATTGCCGAACGGGAATTTGTAGAATGCGTATGCATAAAAATCATTTTGTTACGGATAGACTTTGCATGAGTCAGTCAGGTAGACAGTATGTGCCGCAACAATTACCCCCCCCCATATAACCCAGACCAACTCAGACAGTACTTGTAGGTAGACAGTGTATGCAGCAAGAGCAAAAAATGTTGCCCCCCTCCCCCCCAAACAGTGTTTACGGGTAGAGAATATAATAAATTACTATTGTATGCAATGCGTTGGATTAACTTTTTTTTATTACTAAATTTCATTATCATCTAAGTCTGGTATATTTTGGTTTTCTGTAGAATCAAATGAAATTTCTGCAATTTCTTTTAATAGCTGGTTAAATAAATCATCCTTTCCTTGCTTGGAAAATTTGTAAAATACGTAGTGGCTTAAATACCCAATGAAATTATCTTTTTTGCTAAAAATAGAAAATTTTATGGTATTATATGTTACAGAAAATATTAAAAAACGTGCAAAATTACAAATACTAACCGACAATATTCAGGCAAAAAGTGTTTACTATGCCTCCACGTAGTTTCTATCGTATTTGTATGAGCGCCTGTTTCTGGGTCTTTGAAATGTAAGCTGTGATTTACGGTAAGATGTTTGTACCCCTCTTTCTCTAAGATGTTATAGGCTTTCCAACAATCTGAAATAATTGTTGTGCCAGGCAACACCCATTGTTTAATTATTGAAAGCAGGGACTCTGTGTCCCTACTTTCAACAGGCACCAGGAATATTTTTCCACTTCCTCTTTCTATTCCTCCAAAAACCCATTGTCCCTCTACACGATGATCTCTGTGATATTTTCTTCGTCCGAACTTAGATTCGTCTATTTCTACTATTTTGCCTGGTCCGCCAAGTACTTCGCATGAATGTTGTAGCCAATCAGTCATAACTTGTTTTACAAAATAATTCCATTGAGAAACAGTATTTTTATTCAATTGTAATTCTCGTACAATCTGATATTGATCAAAATTATGGACTAACATGTAAGTTAATTTTAATACCATTTCATAAGAAAGCTTTGTTTTTGAAAACCACGTTCCACGTTTTACACATATTTTTACATCACAAGTTCGCTGTCGTTTGCAAGCACTAAGAGATGCTGCAATTGTTTTTCTACAACACCAATTTTCATTTATCAATTTCATTGCATTTCCACATCATGGACAATTAAGATTTTTGACAATCAACTTTTTATATTGCAAAAATTTTAATAAAGCTTCTTTATTTTTACAAAATTCGTGCAATTTAAATAAGGTCCACACTTCTGGAACTACTAATTCGGTCATTTTTATAGCACGGTTGAACAAAATTCACAAAGTACAAAAAACAGAAGAAAATCAGAAATGACAGTTGAAACAAATGATTACTGAAACAATTTCTGCTTTTCTTCTGTTTCTTGTACTATCTGCAATGTGGAAATGTTATGAAAATTGGCAATGCAGGATAACTATTCCAGGATCTGTCGATCAAACTAAACGTAAAAGACATCGTAATATAAAGATATTTGCAAAGCAAAGAACGTGGTTTTCTAAAAACAAACTCAGCTATAGATGTTTTAAAATTAACATATATACTAACATATAATTATGAGCAATGTCATATTATTATATAACTAAAATTAAATAAAAATACTGCTCAGCAATTGGAAGAGTAGAGTAGATTGTCGAGATCGATGAATCAACATTTTGTCATAGAAAATATTACAGAGGTCGCTTGAGAATTAATCACAGCATCAGTTTTGAAGATCCCATTACCGATGCTTGCACGAATTAAATTGAAACCACTTGGAGGCATGCTACACATTTTTTAATCTTTTTTATAACATATAATACTATCGATATTTTATATTTTTAAGAAGAGCAACTTCATCGAATGTCTGAGCCATTATGTATTTAGTAAATATACCTAATAGAAAAATGGTGATTTATTCAATGAAATATTAGCAGAAATAGTAGAAATTTCATTCAATAAATGTTTAACAAATTAGCATTTGATTACCTAGTATTTTGAACAGAGTAACGACAGTCACTTGTTTCCACCTGTGGATTTGTCAAAATATACTTAACCTTACTTTTTCACTGTAACTTTACGACAAGATTATAAAAAAATAACGAATTTATAATGAAATGCATATTAATAATGTATTGAATTAGACGAATCGAATGACGTATAACTCACCCCGATCGGTGAACGGGCCGTTTGCTAGGAATATACCGCACAATAAACTAAATAGTAAAACTTGCTTAATATAAGACACAATACGTAAATTATCACTAATTATTTTGCATTAGAATAACGAATAAATAAACACAGTCTGTCTCTCGTAGCCGCCATCTTGGCACTCGCCCGCCTGTGTTTCGATACAGCCGATGGGGAATCACCTGAACGATGCATGCCTTTGATCGCTTATTGCGTTAGTAAATAGTAAACAACATCTAAATTGTATATCGTATTTGGTGTCATTTTAATCAGAAAACTGTCACAGACATGTTAAAAGTTTCAAAACCAGGAAAGGAAAAATAACAAATTTGTATTATTGCACTAGTGTTGCCTTAGTAATTTGAACCCGTATCGTACGACAATGTTCGACGACCGACCGCCAAGCGCGCCACTATCTTGGGGAACCACTCATAGAAAGGCACGCTCGCCGGTATAGGGGGCGCTGGGTTCTAACGATAAGCAATGGGGATACGATATTCGCCTATATCGTGGACGAGTTCCGAGCTTATATAGAGAAAATACTGTATAATGTAAAATGAATTACCTCTTTCTGCATTTCCTTTTTGGCAAACATTTGTAGCTCGTCGCCAAATATCTCTTGAGAATTGAGCACCTCTTGATAATCCATTTGCTTTACAAAACTATGATCTTCTATTCCATTTGCCTTGAGGAACTCCATGTATGCTACTTGAAACGCTTGCCCGATGCTTTGTGCAATGAATCGAGCCTCTTCGCTTTCGAACACGTGGCAAATCATCTTTGGGGTTCTGTTGATCTTCGGTGCTTCCTCCATTTCGTGCGGCACAAATCGTCTTCGTGCCATTAGCACCACTACGTCACCAATATCTGCTATATAAGATATTGTTCTTAATGCGTGATCCATCATAATCTCCTTCAGGTCCGTATTCAGAACCATGATTTTCTCTGTCGAGATGAAGAGGTCAACTTCTGTGCTCGGTTGTGTTTCCCCATCCGGTGCCTGTGGGTACGTATTACTATTTTATTTGTAGTGTGCAAGTTACCCGAAAACATCGGGTTTGGACATTGCTGTGTGTTTTGATCGGAATCGTGGTTCGTTTCTCAAAACATTCTTGCCGGATAACATTGCCCGAGTACTCATCATATTTGAATACCAACACACCCTTATTATTCGTCCGACTTTATGCACACATTTTATCCCCTATGACGAATAAATGTGAATTCTTTGCTGATTATGTATTTTAAATTAATTCCTAAGTCAAACTAGCAATTATCGTAAATGATATTTGTAGTGAAATGGTTAAATAACCATTAAATGTAAAGTAAATTTTATGTCACGTACTAATATAACATATCGATATTTTATTAAGTAGTTTAATTTTTTAAATGCTTTTGCAAATTGTCTGTAGCTTAAAGTCAAACGAACTCTGTCTTGTGCAATTGTCATTGTTTGTTGAACAAGAAAAAGCGTGCATAATAGCACTAGGTTTCTATATCAATAATATCTTATTTGTTTGCGTTCCAACAATCATTTTATTACTATTTTCATATGATATGTGTAGCTTCCTGACTCTCAAGTCACAATTAACTATAATGGTACGGTTCGGTGTATTTGCAATAACGTTTGTGTTTTTTTCATTTCTCAGTTTTATACAGGGTGTTCGGCCACCCCCGGGGAATCCTAGAGGCTAAAATAAGACGAAAATCAAGAATACTAATTTGTTGATTGAAGCTTCGTTAAAAAGTTAGAGAAACATTTCCGGCCACGGAGTATATTTTCGATAAAGAATTTTTTTCTCGAAAGAACGTAAGATTTCGGAAGTATGTGTATTCACAAAAAATGATTGTAATTGACCTTCTCAACCAAAAATAATTTTTCCAGGACGATGTGAAATTTTTTAATTTTGTCGAAAAATTTCACACCTCGAATTTTTTTCTCGAAAATGGGTAGGATTTCGAGGGTATGTCTAATAACCAAAAATGCTTGTAATTGACTCCTGCAACTAAATATAATTTTTTTAGTATGATTTGAAATTTTTTAATTTCGTCTAAAAATTTCAGTACTTTCTCGAATTTTTTTCTCGAAAGTGGGTAGGATTTCAGGAATATATGTATTCACCAAAAATGATTGTAATTGAGCCCCACAACCAAAAATAATTTTTCCAGAATGATTTGAAATTTTTTAATAACTTTTTAATCGAGCCTCGGTCGAGAAATTGATATTCTTGATTTTCGTCTTATTTTGGCCTCCAGAATCTCCCACATGTCACGAACTTTCATTCGAATGTAATATTATGGAAATAAAATAGTAATGTAAATGTATACATACCAATGCCTATCATGAGGAAGCAGCATGTAGAATAAAATAGAAAACAGAATTAATTAATTGCTTGGAGGTGATCGTTAAAGTGTACGACAGAAATTACTGAAAGAAAGAATCACTGGAAATATTGTAAGTAAATTTGATAAGAAAGATACTAATGTCCACTTGTATTATTTGTGTATTAGAAGGTTTAAGATTGTAGTACATTAGCTCTGCGAAACAACAAAGAATTCTTGTATAAACCGTAGAGTTCTTTTTTTTTGAAACACCTAGTCAACTATGCCACGCAACATTATTGAAAAAATATTACAGCGCTTTGTTTTACTCGTTACGTTTTAGTTGCACCTGCTTCCACTGGCAACGAGTAAATCTATGTAATTTTTCTAAAAGAGAAAGAACATTTTCAAGGCGTCAATGAACGTTCCAAACACAAACATTAATACAGTATATAATTTTGTAATATGAAACATATGAGATTTAATTAATTTTACTTTACGTACATGAAAATCATATATACTAAATAAACAGAGAAGTTATACGGCCCACATAATTCCGTCAAAGTGTGGCGTTGAAATGGTTTCAAATGGAAAAAGAATCTGTTCTTTAGAAACTGAAGAAAATAGTAAAGATGATTGTATTTCCATGAATACATATTACTAACAATGTTTTAGAAGAATATTTGATAAAATCCTTGGTACGTGGCTGTACTTCAACATCGAATACGAGGATTGAGTATATATCTACTAATATCATCAAATACGCTGATATTTAGCAACAAATATTTATTTCTGATAATTTATCGTTAGTATCGTAAAAATTGTGATTTCTAAGAGTTATTATGTCTGTAAATATTATGTTTATGTAAATATTAGTTTCTCGTTAAAGCAGTATCAATATAAATTCAGTAAAAATGTGGTTACGACTAACTGATAGTGTGCGTCATTCAACATATACATTAATAACACTTCAACGACGAAAAACATCGTTATCGTCAGGTGTAATTACAGAAACAAGTTTTTGTTTACACAATAATAAATATGAAAAATAAATTATCAATGTATATGTCGATAAAAATACAAATATAACATTATAATATATAATAGAAAAAATAAGATAACAAATACCGTACAAATAAGAGTATTACACAGAAATTTAATGCGTTAAACATTCAATCTAATTGAATCTTGTGTATGTTGTTTGATTAATACTATAGGATACTTACAGTGAGTCACAAAGGTTTCACGCCCTCACAACTATCAACGCATTTCTGAAGGAAAACATAACGGCGTCGATACCGATAAGAAAATATAGTGTAGTGGTTAAACTTTCGATGAATTTTTATGAAAAATTACATTTGATGTAACGTGAACATACTTTTTAGTAAGTCGATACAAGAGTAACGCCAAAATGTTAGGTCGTTCCATAAGTTCGTGCCGTTCGATATTTTTAGATAGGGAAAAAATAAAACTTATTAAAAAATGGGGGCTGCGTCAAAGCTGGAAATTTGGATGGATACACACTGACTTACGGAACAAAACTTTCTTGATCGAGTGTGACTGCATGGAATATCTTTGTTTACATATAATAAAACCCGAGTTCCTATCAAAGCATACTGTGGCGCGCGTGTGGCCGCACGATGGCGCTGTATGTAGTGTACTGGTCGACCGTAGGGGAACCCCCCAAAACGAAGCTCGCCACGCGGTCGCGGGGAAATCTCGTGCGTGTGTATTATTATCGAAACAGTTTTACAATTTCGCTGTATGATTTATTAGACTTGAATAAATTATATTCAATTATAGATGCCATACGAAGAAGAACCACTACAACGATATCTCATTCCAGGTTTACATCCTCGTTAAGTTCTTCTATGCGTTTGCTAAGACCATGAAATTGTTTAGTATTTTTTAATATATAAGTGTAAAATATCAAAGAGATCATTGAACAGAAACAAATTGATTTTTCATCGTGATAACGTCGGACCACATATGATAAAAAAATGTTCAAAAACAGTACCGTGAATTAGAAAATTTCATCACGCTCGTTTTATTTCACATACATTACCCCATTTGATTACCGTTTATTTCAACGTACTGAAAACAGTATCGAATAATACTTGAATGGGAAATCAAAGAAGTTTAATGGCTTGGTCGAAAAATGAGAGTGAGTTATTGAGCGAGAAGGGGTTTACTATTTGTCGTAAAATTACATGGTACGTTTTAAATATTGCCATCGAGTTCTATTACAAAATTCGGCACAAACATATGGAATAACCTAAAAGTACATTTGTGTAGATGTAAAGAGTGAAATATATATGTTAAATTCAAACGTTTCGAACAATATGGTATATACAAGCTGTCCCGCCTAAATATCTCTGATAGTGATGGAAAAAATATTTTATGTGGAATTTAAATGTCATCAAAAGACTAATATTTTGAAAAGTTATATATTTTATTAAAACGTTTTAAGCAAAAATAAGATTTTCTGTTCGTTGTCTTTTGTTAACACTTTACCGACCGGTAGCGGTCGGTAAACGTCGATCGATAAAACAGTCGATTAATAGGCTATCGGTCGGTAAGCGTTGGCCGGTAAAACAGTCGATTAATAGGCTATCGGTCGGTAAAGTGTTAAAATAGACGCATTTTAATAGAAAAAATCCAAATCGGTATTCTTTTTCACGATGAAGTGTAATATAGGTGTAATATAGAGACTTTGTTTGTATAGAAACAACTGGAAAGCAAATAAAAAAAGGTCTGTAACGCTAAGAAAAAAAAGTTACTATAGCTTACTTCCCTCATTTATTTACTCCTAGTATGTCTATTGTGATCGTTAAATTTTAAAATTAACGATAGATATAGAGTAGTCTTTTAATAGATCGTGTAATTGAGGATATGCAATAGTCTTTATTTTATATAACACTTAATGTAAGTTAAGTTTCGAAAGTACGCTATTAAATTCCTAGAATTATACGTTTCTTCAATTTTAACCTAACTTTCTTGAAAAAGGTAAAAAAACATGAGATTTCTATGGAGTACTATTTGAGGTGGTGTCTTTTTGTATTTACTGTGGGTATGACATATGGATAAAGTCGTAATATACAGGGTGGGCCGGAATTGGTAGCATAACCGAGCAGGGTGTGATTTTGTATGAAAAAATAAGAAAAAAATTTCGTATATTTTTTTATCTGGGGCTTCGTTTTCGAGAAAATCGACTTTAAAGTTTGTTCATCTTTGTCAACGATTTAATTGTTGTCCAATCTTTGTGTTTGCAAACATTATTTATTATATGGTTAAAGCAGTACAGGGCAGTGATGGACATTCGTGGGAATTTTGGTCATGCGCACATACATCTATGGCAGAGAGTTAACGCATGCGCAGAAAGGAATCCCACGAGGGAAAATTCTAGTGCGCATGTCCAAAATTCCCACGAACGTCCATCACTGGTATAGGGTGTTTCTGAGTGTGATTGATGGGTGTGGACGATTGGTACGAATGCATGAACATAGAGAGTTGAGTGTGCAAGGGTTGGCAATGAATGTGAGACCCATCTGGTGATGGGCCCCAGAGAGAAACAGTGTGTAACGATGAGAGCATGGAGAGTGTATAAACCAAATATCTAATTCATTAAACATATCTACTGAAGAACATTTGTGTCATTAATAACTTGACTGACCCCATCCTGTATTCACAGTTTTGACTGATAATTAATTTTTTATTGCTTTCTATTGCAATACTATAATACAGTACACTAATACATGTATCGTAAAAAATGTCCTCTTTGCTGCGTTCACAAGTTTGTGTATGCAACTTTGTGCAACTAACAAAGAGAGCGATCCATACATCCGATAAAATGAAATGTAGTCGATGGTTAATTGTAATCCCTTCAAATATATTTAACGCATCAATATTTAAAGCATTCATACTTTTCTGGAAAGTATTTCCTACATGAAAACTAACGTCTACAAGAAAAATACGTTTGTTCGTTGGGAAACTTAAAGAATGCGTTGATAAAGCAGTATACATATAACTACCTACGAACAAAACGTACTAAAGAAATTGTAAACCCATTAGAATATATAACGGAAACCAGTCATCGCAAGTGGATGTTTGAACATTTAATAAAAGGAGATGTTAGTTGTGCGACAAAACGGATAATAAAAGAACAGTAAAATGTAACAAATGTACAAAATTGATATCTATGCAACACTGCTACTTAATATGTGAAGCACGTTATAAATAATTTGACATACTATGTTGTTTCTCTGTAATTAAAACTATGATATCACAGCGATTGGTTATTTCTATGTTTCTTTTGGACTTTTACTGCACCATGAAATTGAAAATATTAATTTCACAAGAAACGAAGTATGCACAAAAGTTAAGTACAGTGTTCCATGCAACTGTGAAAAACTGTATCTCCAAAAAGGTTAGACGCAAATGAACGTCGCAAGGCAAAATTAAACGGCATCAAATGGCGCAGAAACTAAATGTAATTTTATACATATTTGCTTATCGATGCATCCAAAATCAGCAACTATATTCTTTTCTTAAACGGAACTCTGCAATTTTGATTGCATTGTTTGACGCAGTCTTTTAATATCTACAAACAAAAATATTGAGACACTTATGCCTCAATAAAACTTAATACTCGTTGTTTAAGAGTTGAAGTTTATTGGAAAAATTTAGTGCGGTTAGAAGAATTTAGTTCCAAATTGAATGTCGTTTCTAGAGCAAAGGTTCGACTCATAAAAATGTATAAAATATATTATGACATCTACAAGATACGAATTTACATAAAAAAAAAAATTTGTGCATTTTGGGCTGCAAGTTTAAAACATAACTGATCATTAAGGCGTGAAGAAGTACACGGGTATTTTAAATACCTGTGAAACAGGAATCTTTAGTTTTTATTGATATCCGTCACGTTACCTTTACGAAAATGTAAATCGTTTGAAATCGATAGCTGTGAAGGTGCGAATCACTTTGTTGATTCGATGTAAGTACCTGCAGACGGCC